ATTTTACCGCCATCTACAAAGAAAAAGAAATCCGCAATCGGCGCTGGACGTGAAATTTTGAAGGATTTTCCTTGGAAGATAATGTGAGCTAAGAGTAGAATGAAGGTTTGTTGGCTTGAGCACGACTAATTTGTGCTGAAGAGCGCTATAGAGAACAATTTTTATTATATTGTTCAAAATTAATCTGGATATTCAGCAATGTAGTCGACGGATATCGCGCATGTGCGATAGAGCGCATTGGCGCAGTGGTTAGAGGTGCCCTGCGTCGCACACGAGGTTCACTGGTTCCGATCTCAAGCCGCAATCATGGCTTCACCAAGTCAACGCATCCATCCGGGGTTGCCCAGTAAAATTGGGGGTACCACGACCAGGTCGGCAGACTTGGTATCTGGGCGGATAAGGCCGCACCTGACTCGGTTTCAGCGGGCGAGCCCACCGCGAGTCCATTGTATAGGGCCCACAGACGGCGCATTCAATCAACCTCAAGCGATGTTAAAATTGAAGTCGAATGCATGCATCCCTCAGCGATTGATCAACGCCGAGAGCTTTATCCTTTTTTTATAGTCGACGGAAACTTTCATTCCACACTTTTACATAAATTTATGATGTTTAATAATATACTAAAAGATGCCAACTACTCGTTGACACCTTATTGCCTCAGCCAGAAGTCAAACGAGCCGCTTAACACATGACGGGTACGCGTGCTGAGACCACTCCACAATCGAGCCCATTCCTCTGCTATCGCTCTTTCTTCTGCAAAATACTGTAACAAAGCTCCAACCACTGACCCTAAAATCAGAGTTCTGCCAGTAAAATCTTTGCAAATGCTCTACTGTCATGAACTATCGAAAAGGATCACCTTTGGTGCTGCTTCGCAATATAATTTTATTTTAAAATAATTTTTTTTTGAGTGGTCGGCAATGTGCTCAGTGGTGTAGTGTGGTTAGAGCACGCGTCTCCGGATAGGATGTAACGCGGGTTCGATTCCCGCTGAGGCGGCGTTTTTGCTCACCACTCAATTTTCTAGGTAATATAAGTAACATCATAACACTGCGAAATAAGCAGTAGAAATACTATAATTTTGAAAGTAGTATAAATTTTTTCTTAACATTTGAAGGTTGAAATTGCAGCTGTCAAAACTACGATTTCGACAAATTATTTATGTATGTGTGCATGTGTGTCTGTCTGTGCGCGTGTATGTATGTATGTATGTATGTATGTATGTATGTATGTATGCAATGTATGTATGTATGTATGTCTGCCTGTATGTATGTATGTAGTACGGATGTATGCATGTATGTATGCATGCATGTATGTATGTATGTATGTACGTATGTCTGTATGTATGTATGTCTGTCTGTCTGTAAGTATGTATGTATGCATGTATGTATGTATGTATGTATGTATGCATGTATGTATGATTAATGTATGTACGTATGTATGTATGTCTGTATGTATGCATGCATGTATGTATGTATGTACGTATGTATTTATGTCCGTATGTATGTATGTATTGTATTATGTATGTATGTACGTATGTATGTATGTCTGTCTGTCTGTAAGTATGTATGTATGCATGTATGTATGTATGTATGCATGTATGCATGTATGTTTTGTATGTATGTACGTATGTATGTATGCTATGTGTGTATGTAGCATGCATGTATGTATGCATGTGTGTATGCATGTGTGTATGTACACATATATTGATTGTGCGTATGTGTCTGTTGCGGGTAGACTGTCATGGTCCTTTTTCCAAGTGAAGCAATTGAGCAAAATGGCAAAAGCAACTGAGATAAAGACAAATCGTCAGCTCAGTTGGTGTAGTGGAAACTGAAGAAGCCCTTAGATCGCGGATATGAAGCCACCTAGGTTCTGGGTCAAACTAAAAAAGCAGTTACAGTCTTTACTAAGTGACAAGAGGGCGGACATTTGTTTGATTTGCGAAAAGTGCTGAAAAGGTACGAATAACTTATGTATTAATTTATAACAAATTCATTCAAGCGTATACACAAAACAAATCGGCAGTCCCACGACCTCAGATTTCATCGATTCAGCAAAAGTCAGGGTTTTTAATAATAGATCTAGTTCAATCTGGTCCACATTGAAATTCCAGCGACATTGGTTGGTTTTTTTTTTGCCAAACGAAGCATTGCGAGACGGCAGTTGGGTTTTGCCGTAAGGAAGTGTAATGTCTGTTAGAAGTAGATTAGTTCGCTAGTTCTCGGCAGTAACATTTGATGGCAGGTTTTTTTCGATGATCTCGCACATACAACGAGGCCGTACGAACTTCTTTTCTTATCAGCTTTATGGTATGTGCTCATTTTAGTTTACTTACCAAACGGTCTCTTATGAACTTCATGCATCAACGCCGCCATGTTTTCTGGGTAGCGGACAACAACGAATAATAGGAACATCCTCCATTAGAGGTACACAACTTTGTACGAGTTCGACTCTACCACTCGGAATCGTACGATGCAAATGTGGAGGATTATCGGTGGCCCCAAAATTATCAGAGTGAGGGACCAGATCTCAGATTTGCATGAATTAACACTGCTTGAATATGTATAGAAGACATACAGGTGTCGGATGTCTTAAAATCTAAGAAATTATTCCGAAACTACCAAAATGGGGTAGTTCTGGATGAACAGGGCTCTCACCATTTTTCACTTATATAGGCTGTCACAGTTGTAAGTAGTTATGGAGTACCCTGTGAGGCTACGTTTTCTTTTCAGTAATACTCTAAGTCTTGAGATAGGTAATCTTGAAATCATTGACTGACCGTACGAAATTTCGTGGATCAGTGTGTTTCCCATGTCAATATCACGCATCACTTGCCGTCGTTGGCCTTGCTGACTGATATTCAGCAGTTCGGAATAACAAGCTCGATATACTAAGAATCAAAACCTCGAACATAGGACATATCACTCGTATAAAAAGTAGGGTGTGATACTCGAGTCAGCGAGCAAAAATCATACACTCCGAATGATGAAATTGCTGTGTACAACAATCCATCTGAGCGAATAAACAAGATTCTCCTATGCATTATAAAATGCGTGCATCGGTAACGATTTGTGCTGTGACAGATATAACAATTATATGGAAGATTTTCAAACAAGGTCCTTTTTATGGTAATCTTGTGCGCCTTAGCAGCACGCACTACCTGAAGTACTAATGCGGAAGGTCTGTCGGAGAAGATTGTGTAAGCGCCAGAATTTCGCAACAGGTCGCTGTCCACGACTGAGTTTTGCGAATTTGTGGTACCAATAGCCGTGATGTCATAAATTCTCAGAGTAATTAGGCTACTCAGATGGCGTTTTATATGCTTCCATTGGTTGGTAGTTTCCTCATATGTACGAGACTCTGTTTGTTATGTGCAGTCAAACTCGGGGACAGAACATGAAACTCGTCATAGAGCTGGTCTGTAGCACTTGGTGGACGATATCGGGCTTTTGGAGGGTCCTTGTCGAGTCAGTTTATTTTCTGTTCGAAGAATGAATAGTGGCGTTCCATACCCAAGCGTAGATCTTTGCTTTTTCAGAAGGGATATTGCCAGGTGGAACCACTGAGTCCTCCTGGCTATACGGCCACAGCACATTTTGAGGGAAGGCTTTCGATTCGATTATCCGTGTCTCGTGATCACCAAAATTGCACTCTGGACATGTAGAGTCTTCTAGTGTAAGGAAGCGACAAAGTTCTATATGACAAATAGGAAAGGTGTTAATTGGTCTGTCACAACCTACTGCTCTCTCTTGGTCTATTTTTCACGACAAACATACAGGCTGTAGTGAATATAATGAGCGACAGAGGGCACATTACAATATGTTCCAAGAGATGTAACCCAAGATACTTAAATGTCGCATAGAACTTGTGATTCATGTAGTCAACAATTAAAATAAAAAAACCACCGATTGACAACTATGGAATAACGTAGATATGCGAACATCAAATAAGAGTCACACAACAACTCTATAGATTTTCAAGTTAATCAACTAATGCTACAAAACAACAGACCGCTGCCATGACAGACACAAGAAACGAGGGGCGTCTCTACAAATGGCCATAAATAGTACGTAAGTAATATGCAACATGTGAGATGAGATTGTGACTCCGTTTCCCGAGTTACTTTCTTTTGTTAGATATCTGCTGTAGTCAAGCATTAATTGCCATAGTCCCCCCCGGCGAATTAGTGCTAAATTTAACAATGATGTTTTCTATTCGACAAAATTCCGTTAACTGAATCGTAATCATCTTACGTTGTGGAATCATATTATCTTCTACAAGACTAGACATGAACAGCGACTCGTTATCTAATATCTTAATTTTCTAACACTCTTGTGCTAGATTTGGAAAGTAACTAGTAATACTATTCCTCAGACTATATTGGATTTGGTGGGGAACGACACTTCACTTCCTCTCATTCTCTTACTTTCACAGTCTCGCACTCTCGGGCTAGTGGACGTTTACATTCCAAAGCTCGCTCCTTCCTTATTGTTGGTTTTTATGAAATCCTCCATTGAAAAATACATTATATGATGAGTGACATACTATATTTCAACCTCTATGTTCTCCAAGATTGAGAACAGTCTATTAATGACAAAAGCTTCAGAAAGTGACCTTCCAGAATGGCAAATGTGCCTACGTTACTGGCGTACCTACGGGAGCTTGGTGATGTCTGCATACTTCTCAGCGTACTGCCAATACTACAAGCTATTACATAGATCCCGACTTTCATTAAACTTACTTTGATGCCTCATTGTCTCATCTTCAACGTGGCCGCCACAGAGATGTCTCGTTGTATGTTTTGCGCATATGGGCCTTGCCTGTCCGTCGTTTGTTATATTATATTACATCTCGAGTTCTGGCTGAAACCTTACCTTCTATATCGAGTTATAGGACTGTCCAGCTTTAAAAAATCGTTCCCCAATCTTATACACCTGGCCCAGCCTTATGTGGGGGAGCTATTGTTGGTTGGCAAAATGAGTTTCTTGCCAGCGTGCCTTCACTGAGGAAATTGCATGCAAATATCATGGATGTTTCGTCTCACATGTTGCATAAACTAGCTTTGGGAAAGGTAATTTTCCTTTTGAACAAATTCTTTGGCAGACTTTCTTTATTTTAGGACGTTAGGATCTGGCTGATGCGGCGCGGCTCGGGGCGATACTCGTAGGGAACAATTTCCATCGGGAGCGGCGACTGTCTACAACATAAAGCAGATCGTGAAACAGGCTATTATGCCTGTCAGATTGTTGGTTCCAAGGTCTACACGGAGTATGTCTTCGTCAGCCCTACTGTTTCTTATTCAGAGTTGTTAATGTTTTCATGAAATTTTTCTCCTTCCCTCAGCTTTTTCCATCAATTTCTTCTACACCAACTTTGTGAAGAGCATCTGAGCTGCGGACGCATCAAGGTACACGAGAAGCAGTTTGCTCCTGAGACATGTGTCCCCCTGCGCGGAAGCGGTTTCGCGTTGAGTTTCTTACTATGATATAATCTTTCGAACACATATGGAAAGGGTATTCGGATATGCTGAGCCTTGGGCGTTGTCGTAATTGGCAATCAAAATAAAATCTGTTGTGTGAAGAGACATATAAAAGCACCGCCCCTCACAATATTCTTGGCCCCCAATTGTATGGTCACATCGGATGCATTGAACCGCGATTAAATCCTAAGGAATTGCATACGCTTAATTGCTTTTGTATCAATTCTATATTTAGTTTACATGCTATTAAGAGCGGAAAGTCCTGTCGGTAGCGGTTTTCGGCGCGTGTTTTTAGAAACAGATCTCTTTCCTCCCCAGGATGTCGTTCTGTTTCTTTTTGGCCATTTCAAATCGATCTCCTTTTTGTCTACGGTGTACTCGTTCTACTCCGCGCCTGGTTTTAGTCGTTCTCTTCCGTTAATTTATCTAGTCCATCCTCGTAGTATAGTCAAGGTTACTGCATCTCCAGGACGATGAGTGCTTGAGAAATTCGTCCAAAATTAGTGCAGTCGTCTAATA